ATTTAAGGATATTACTACTATAGCATGTATGTGTATAATAATGATGATACTACTATACCATATATGTGTATATTAATGATGATATTAATATACCATGTATGTATATATTAATGATGATACTACTATACCATGTATGTGTATATTAATGATGTTACTACTATAGCATGTATGCCTATATTAATGATGCTACTACTATAGCATGTATGTGTGTATTAAAGATGTCACTACTATAGCGTGTATGTGTATACTAATGATGTTACTACTAAAGCACAACACTATACATAAGTACACTCATCGCTAACACTGTACATAAGTACACTCATCGCTAACACTATACATAAGTACACTCATCGCAAACACTATACATAAGTACACTCATCGCTATCTCTATACATATGTGCACGCATCGGGAACACTTTTATCCCCTGAGTGTGTGTGCGTTTACCTGACATGCACGTGTCTGTGTCAGCTCATCTCCCGAGGACAATCACTGTGTGTCTGCCCTCAACCATAATGCACAGACCAGACCACTCATGCACTACATCTGTTTGTCCCTCATTGCATTCCTTCCCCAACAGTGTCCGGCTGGGATTGGCCAACCTCTAAAAACCTTATACCTTAACTTCCTTGGTAGATGACCTCAGCAGCAAGAGTTCTCAACTCAGTCTACCATTGTGCAGAGTCGGCGTATCTTCTGCGTACTTCTTCTAAGAGTTGTACTGTCTACATCTAGCATAGTCAGTACTATACATCTGTTATAGTAAATAGCAACTTCGGCGCTCCTCCTTATTTGTCCATCTCCCGAGCTTCGGTGTGACCCTCTTCTTCATCCAGGATGTCTAAAAAAGCGAAAGCAGGGTTCACGCTGCTATCCGTGTTTGGCCCGTCACGCAGCCACCGTAAGCTGTGTGCGATGCTGTTGCTGGTGTGTCTCACATACGTATACACACACTTTGGTAGATTGGGCCTCGGTACACGCGTGCGCTCGCATGTGCAGAGAGATGCGTCTAGCAGTTCGGTACAGTTAGCAGAGGTAGCGGTACTGGGCAAGGAGGACGCGGCAGGTGTGTACACGGACGAACCTGTTGAGAAGAGGTCACTGGGGGTGGACAAGGAAACACCCGAGACGGCGGATGACAGCCAAGGCAATCGATTAGCCGCACAGGAGATCAACAGGGACGTACGCCTAAACAACGGGCCACAGACAACTGCGCACAACCCGGACGGGGGCATTAATCAACCACGGGGGGTGTTAATTGGGGTCTTTAGTGTGGCTTCGCACTTTGAACGGCGCTCACTCATACGCACCACGTACATGCGCATGACGCGAAGGGACCGTGACGAACAGGACTACCCCCAGCGAAAGAGTAGCAAGAGCTCAGGCTCTGCAAAGAGGGCTTTGCACCGTAGGTTTGCCCGCAATGCGACCGTTGTGTTTGTGGTGGGACAGCCTGTGAACAGTGCCGAACTGCACCTGTTGTGGTCAGAAAGGGACACCCACGGGGACATACTCATCCTGCCGTGCGAGGAGAATATGGACGAGGGGAAGACCTTCGAGTACTTTAAACACGTGTACGAGGTGTACGGCCCGGGGCAAAGTGGACAAATATCGAGGGGGACTCGAGCGAGAACGGCCGATGGACCAGGGAACTCTGACTCTGGTGCGCAGGGAGAGTTGTCATCCGCCCGTCCCGCTATTCCGTACCGCTTTGTGGTCAAAACCGATGAGGACACATGGGTGCACGTGGCCAATCTCGAGGCGAAGCTCGACTCACTTCCTAATAGGGGCACCTACTTTGGGCGGGCCGTGTGTGTGGGCGCGCGTACGGGTAGCGACTGTTTCATGGCTGGGCTGGGGTATGCGCTGTCATGGGATCTGGTTGAGTTTATCGCCACAGACCCTACTGTGGCACATAACACTGTTGGCCAGGTACGCTCGCTCTACAGCTGTTTGCACACACACACTCCTGGTGGGTTCTTATATTGTGCTGGAGTATGTGTTCTATAGACATTGGAGGACACACCGGTCGCAGTGTTGTACTTGCGTGCAGTTGTATATACAAAGCCGAAGGTAGTTGTTGTTGTGAGGCCATTGGGCAGATGTCACCGCAGCAGGTTCGCTTATAGCGCAGAATGTCAATGGCCATGTGCAATCGCTTGCTGTTTGTGTGTGTGTGTGTCTGTATGGTCACTTGTCTGTTTCATATCATACACATAGATCCGTGTTTTGTGATTGTATTTTTAGTTAACGATGGACTTATACAAGCAGCTGTCAGGGGGTTTAATTTTGGTTCAATTGAGTACCCTTATTTAGCTCATAGTATCGTCAGTCTGGTATACGTCGTAGTACTGTACACATATCGCTATATATAAGATGTCACACGTCTATGTACTATAATTGTGCATATGTATGTAGCTTTTATATATCTGTCTCTTCAGACTAGTATGTAGCATAGAACACCCTCGTACAGGCACAGTGGCTGGTCGTACATACACACATCCATCTAATCAGCCGTAGTTATCTGCTTCTCTTTGTCTGTATGTGACTATGGAGTGTGTTGTGTAGTCGCTCCGTCATATGTTGTATAGTGTCCGTATCGCAGGTACTATGATTACAGCTTATCCCAGCTATCAATTAAAGGCTGCCAACCCACTAACATGCAAACACACCCCTCAGCGCATACTTCAACCGTCGCATCCTCATCCCTCTCTCTACTTATATCACAAGCTCTATAGTCATGTCTCTCTCTACCTATATCACAAGCTCTATAGTCATATGTCTCTCTACCTATATCACAAGCTCTATAGTCATGTCTCTCTCTACCTATATCACAAGCTCTATAATCATATCTCTCTCTACCTATACCACAAGCTCTATAGTCATGTCTCTCTCTACTTATATCACAAACTCTATAGTCATGTCTCTCTCTACCTATACCACAAGCTCTATAGTCATATCTCTCTCTACTTATATCACAAGCTCTATAGTCATGTCTCTCTCTACCACCCCTTGCACCCCCGCATTAGGAGGATGCGCTGGTCAGTGAGTGGTTCTATCAGCAGAATGTAATGCACCATCACGTGACGGACGAGGTCGACATCTATGACACACCCGACCTGGGCAAGGGTATTGGGTGGTCCAAGCCATACACCCCACACACCGTGTTTGTGCACCAGTGTAAGCGTAGAGACTGGTTTATACGCACCAGCCACCACTTCCTCGCAGATAGTGCATAGTGTATATTGACGGATGGATGTAGAGTCCACACACACTGTGTATGGAGCTTACACACAAAGATGTAAATATGGCTCCTACTGGCTGTGTGTATCAGTGTGTTGGCTGGGTGTATCAGTGTACACGCAGAGAAGCGTGTATCAGTGTACACGCAGAGAGTGGCTATACACGTCAACCAGCCTACTCTCGCGCTAATTAGTTGCTATGTCCTACACACGAGTGTTAGTGTTGTCTGCTCGTGTACGTGTGTGTGCTGCGAGTGGCGTACAGGTACCAACTATCCCTTTCTGGCCCATTCTTTCGGGGAGTTATCCAGCACAGTATGCGCGTACAGCTGTTTATGTACTAGCGGGAGTTTCGCGGAGAAACGCACCCCATCACATAGTGTGTGTGTGTTTGCGGTGCAGCGGATATCCACAGAGGAACGCGCTCGAATCTACCACCACTTTCTGGTTCGTTTGTGAGGTGATAAATACATGCCACACACACAAACAGTGTACCATTGGCAGCCCTCGGAATGGTCTTGGCCATAAACTATAACCCTAAACCCTAAAATCCTTATACAGACTAACAATAGCTTTCTGGCTCACATCTGTTTAGCATACAGCCACACATGGTGTATGTGTGTCTATATGAGTGCAACGAATGGTCTATCTGCGTTCACCAGCCCAGAGTTTACCATCAGACTACGTGAACTGCACGGCAAGTATGTGGCCGTTATTTAAGTAGCGACCGTTTGGTACTCCTCAGATATCGCACCCTGGCCATCTCGAAGGGGATAGATACACGCCGCTGCGTACGTGCACAAACGCAGGCGCAGCCGATATATGGGCTAGCTAACTTACCGATGGCGAATATAAGTCGACAGATGCACATGCTCAATCATCCTAACGCACGAACTTGCCAAACCTACACTTCACCATGTACCTACTACTATAAAAACATATTCTGATTAAACGCAAGACTCGGATTTCAATAGACACAATCCGCATCTCATCACGCTGAGCTACTAAATACCTCACCTGTATCGATCTCATTGCCAGGTGGAGCTTAAAGCAGTAACCATTACAAGCTTAACTTTAAGAATAAGCTGTACAACTTGGTGGCCTCTACATAGTATTCCACAAGGTGAGAATTTGACGCATATAGTCGGCGCTCACAGCGACTATCGAAATATCTAATACTTGCACCCTATTACCAGCGATATGTATGACGAGAAAGAAGTATGATAAGTGTATAGTAAGATGTGGTTTACATTCACTGCACGTACAATATTACATCGCCGTGCAATTGGAACTGGCATTGGATGTATCAGACTACCGTTCCGAAGTGGGATGCATGCAGCTCGATTGAATGCGGGAGGCGGACCAGCAGGCTCACAGTTAACAACATGAGATGTATGCGCGACCAATACCAATTGTAGCCAGGTTATGCGGCAGACGTGCATAAAAGGTAGACACATCTCGCACGGAATAACGTATTGCTGACACGGACTAATGTCATTCGATCAAAGTCTCTAGTGTTTTACATAGTTCTACCAAAAGTTGATAAGTTTCTTGATAGCAAAAGTGCGAATTTGATCAATGGCAAAAGGGTTATAGATCAATGTCAACACGTATCGTTTTAGAACCCTGATCAGTTTATTCAACAGCGCAATGAATTGTATTCATCCATGCATGTTTACCAAGATATATTACGAGTGTGTCTGTATCTATTATATCTTTGAACGCACTCACTAACATCACGTGACAAAAATTTTGGGATTTTCCTATGTCTCTCTTTTTGTTCATAGCTGCTGCCTTCGAAACTTTGGTCCAGTGGTCGCCTACACACGTAGTTTGTATAAGTAAATACTTAACTGAATTGGTGTTGGTAACGCATATTTGCTATACCGTATTGGCACGTACTTTTATCGCCTTTGATTCGATCCAGAGGCCACTATCGTGAAGCGAGCTCACGGATTATGATATTCCTTCCCGGGGAGAATTTTTATATATCATTGCTGGTAAACTTTACTTTGCTGGTTATCCTACAAGAATCACTCTGCCGAGTCAATGTTTATGTGTGCTCGCTTTATTTTGTGGTGAGATGCACGCATAGGCGGATACGATCATGCAAGCAGTGAATCTCCCATAATGGTTACCTATGTACACGTAAACACATTAATTATGCTTACAAGCATGGGTGCTAGCAACAAAAGCCACAGTTTACATACATGATGCTCAAATGCATAAATATAAAGTAACAAAAGCGGGACTATTTCGATATAAGAATCACAGTTTACATACATGATGCTCACAGGCATATATATATAGTAACAAAAGCGGGACTATTTCCATATAAGAATCACAGTTTACATACATGATGCTCACAGGCATAAATATAAAGTAACAAAAGCGGGACTTTTTCGACATAAGAATCACAGTTTACATACATGATACTCACAGGCATAAATATAAAGTAACAAAAGCGGGGCTATTTCGATATAAGAATCACAGTTTACATACATGATGCTCACATGCATAAATATAAAGTAACAAAAGCGGGACTATTTCGATATAAGAATCACAGTTTATATACATGATGCTCACAGGCATAAATATAAAGTAACAAAAGCGGGACTATTTCGATATAAGAATCACTGTTTACATACATGATGCTCACAGGCATAAATATAAAGTAACAAAAGGAAACCTATTTTGATATAAGAAGCACAGTTTACACTTCATCACAGTTTGTGATAAACTTGAGTAGGCAAAGGTACAATCTTCTGAGCTTATTTGCTCACTTAATAGCTGAACTAATACCTTGAACTGTAGTGCAACAATTCAACAAAGCGGTGTCTGTTGATAGATAATGTGTTCACAATATATAAATTATAGAAGATCAGAGGTTGCGGATTAAGGGATCAACGAACAAAGATACTTAGAAGTATTATTATTGTAAAAAAATGAACTGACACTATGGCTGGTCAAAACACTAAATATATATGCTATATTCAATTGATTTTTAATAAATATATATACACAATATCTAAGACATCAACTTGCATCAACGATTGTATGCTTGTCAGTATAAGCACCTAAACATAAATCTAAAAGTACCCCCTGTAAATAATTTCTTGTCATTCAAAATTATTACTATCATGAGTGAGCACTTATTTAAGACAAGCTAAGCGTCTTTTAGTAGCTGATGAAACTTATCTGCGTTAATTTTTCATGAGATTCAATTCAATGGTGTGCACGAAGGATTCTAAAACTTCCTTGATAGTGTTGTAGGCTATCCTATGTATCCCTATAGTCTTACAGAGGATCACAATGTGCTTACTTCACAAGTTTGGCGAAGGTGTGTAAATAGCGGGCTCTATCTCGTGGGAAGTACTCTACTACATACTAGAGTCCGGTCGGGCCCGGATTTTTAAAGCACAATCTTCATAATTTCCTTCTCTAATAAAAAGTGTGCAAAAAACGGTCTCACTGAGCAATGCGATCAGATTCGGATTTTACTCGCGAGTTCCTCTATATTTTAACAGAAATGTTAATGGGCGTTCCAGGCACTCTTTTTGGCAATTGGCAATTTGGCGCAGACTACAAATGTATTTCAATTCACTTTCCAACTTCCAAGACGTGAAAGTGAAACTCTATGTACCGGAGGGCGGTGTATCGTTATTTTAAACCTTCAAAAATACCATTAGTACTCGATGTGTCAGTATTGGCCGGCCCGGCCCGAATAAATTTTAGTTTTATCATACCAATTTTTTTTAAATGTAAACTAAATAAAAAATACAATTACATATGTACATTCAGTATGTAGCAGTAATTGTTTTTAAAAAAAAACAATTTAAATAGTTCTCATATTTTAACAGTAGGAATGTCGTTATACGGCACTGGTGACAATAAAATTATTAACCACCTCAGGCCCAGTTTCCCACCAGTCTCGTACTCGTACTTTTTCGAGTTTACTTTGCTTTTAATAGATGTAATTAGCGTAATTTTAGCACATTTATTGCACTTGTTGTATTAGTTCTTTGTCGGCCTCAGAGGAGAGGTCGACGTATGTTAGACACAATCCAAAGCAATAGCTAAGACAGCGGATGCCTATATACATGTGTCTAACTGCTAACATATGTCAAGCCCTTAAGACCGACAAGGACCTAACATAAGTGCAACAAATGGGTTGTATCCGCGCTACAATATCTAATATTTAAGTCGAGCGCTTTCAGCCGACAGATAACAAACAAACCGGCAGAAAACAAACACATCTCGCAAGTGCTTAAAACCACGCTGAATACATTAATACACCTATATTTTTAAGCAAATTGAACTCGAAAAAGTATACTAGACTGGTAGAAAACTGGGCCTAAAGTGGTTGATAGTTTTATTGTCACCAGTGCCGTATAAAGAAACTGGGCCTGAGGTGGTTGATATTCACTCTACTTTCTATATATAATTACAGTTTTGCACTCTACACTCTACACTCTACAGTACTTTTTCAGACCTCATTGCGTTAGCATATGTAGATGAGAACGTTCAACGTTTTATACTCGTGTTTTGATTTCAAAACGTTGCAACGCTACATGCATATATCTTGGCCTGATTTTTTTTCTCAATTTCGACCTGGATAATACACCTATTGAAAAACTGGGCCAACACACACACACGACCTACTGGCATTCGTACACTAACACGGTAGTCTGCCGTTCGTAAGCTACAAGCATAGCCAGACCTGGCAGACGCCAGACTTGCATTTTGCAAGCAGCTGTAAATATAAAAGCGATGACTGTTGACTGACCATAACGGTTCATTCTCTTTGTTTGGCGGGTCAACTGACAGTGACAAACGTCATATTTTTATTTTTTTAAATTGTAGCCTTCTTCTATAAAAAACTAAAAAGAACGTAAAAATATTTCTATTTTTACTAAATACTAGTAGAGAGTCATAATATTTTTATCGAATTATATCACTTATGTCTGACATCCGATTTTTTGTCGACATAAAGTTCTATTGGCTATTGCCTTGAAAAGTTTTAGGGTTCTAGGGTTTAGAGTTTTAGACGTTACGTGGTCAAGGCCCCATACATAAATGCATAGTTTTTTGTTGTTATTTTGAATTTTGTTTTTTATTTAAAGGACAGTAAGTGTCACAGTGTCAGTATAAATAACAATTATGCCAAAAAAAAATGTTTTTTTTGTGCATTCTCTGCTCCGGGGATTGGTCATTGGATAAAACAACCTTAATTTTACATTTGAGTGTACAAGAGTCAACTCATGAGTCACCAACGATAAACGAATTGGTCAACTTGAGGTACATTTTTAAAATACACAGAGTACAAAAGTGCACCTGTGTATTTATTGTGTTCTCGAAGGACTTCAGTACCTGGGTATAAATAGAGAGATCACTGATCGGTGCAGTGGCAGTTGTTCAATAGGGTACATACACGCACGAGCACGTTCACAACATGTTGGGATTGAACGTATATAATGTCGCATCTACGATGCTACTCGCATCAACTTGTGTAGCACAAACACTCCCACAGGTACTACCATTAGATCAGATCTTCACCAACAATACAGCGCCCGCTATAACGGAAACGTTTGATACATATGCTACTTATTATTTCCAGTCCAGCATACCTGTCGCGTGTGCGGTGGTATATGGAGAGGATAACACCACATTCGGAATGATCGCTAACGATCCAGCTATGACTACGACGGCTACTATTGAGCATAATGTGGTACTCAGTGACTTGAAACCCGACACCGTGTACTACTTTAGAAGTCAAGGATCAGACGCCAATGGAAATATTGTAAGTGTGCCTTTATGTTTATGCTTGCTTATATTATCATTAGTACATCCGCGTGTATCAACTCTTAGCTGTATCCGACCTTGCAGCTGAAGTGTAAATTAGGCTAGCTGTTATTTGGGAGGTGTATGTAAGCGTATATTAAAAGTTGTATATATTTAAGAGCTCATGCTCGAAGATCTACTGTTGTATCACTCTAGACGGGTTATTATTTGACATCAGCTCTATATGTTCCTATGTTCTTCACACATCTATACCATTACATTTGCATACATGTATAGGTCTATTGTATATGCAAGTCTATTATATATACAAATGTGATTCTGTATGTACTATACGCTTGTTTATTTCCGTATGCAGTCGTTGTATGGAGGGGGGATCGTTATTCTAATTAGAGACTTGTATGTAGAATAGGGTTGATTTGAATTTGATAGCGGCATTAGGATACGGCACACGCGCACAGACATCATGTCAATATTTATGTATCAAACCTATTCATATAATGCCATAGAAGATGTATATATTATACAATATAGGATCGGCTGTGTGTCATACTCGACTGCAGCCACTTTCAGTTGGTTCATGTTTCTATAGCCGTTAAGGGTATCACTACTAGTTTCAGGTATATCCAAAACATTCATTGACACAATTGTATTTGTCGACTATGATCCAGTCCAGATTCTTACTATCCTATTAAAGAATTCGTTTTCGAATCATTCATAGCAATGACATTTGTCGTCTAGGCTGCTGTCAAGGTATTCATTTCCGACTCTATACGAATGTATGTTTCTCTGTTTCTCTGTCACAAACACAGGCGTGTTTGTCCATAGCATCCGTGCATAAATGTTATGTTTATTCGTTTTTCTCTCGCCTCTTCAGTACGCAGATGTTATCAGATCCTTCCGATCGGAGCCGGAGACTGAAAGCGACGCTTTTAATATCGCGGCCCTATCAAACGGTGCGAGTGTGAAGGCTGTTAGTTCCAACTACGCTGATGTGTCAAACTCGGAGCTGTATGGGGCTGATGAGGTGTGTACACTCAAGTCCCTCTATTCGTAGTGCCCCGAGCTTTGCTTCTGGTTGTCGTGGGGATTACTGTCGTCCATGTATTTACCATTGCGTACGTATGTGTGGTTGGGTCGTGTGGTGAAAGTTGTGTAGTGTATATGCACGTCTAGTTTTGTGCAAACTACATTGAATCTGAACAGCTAAAATTATTTTTTAACATTCATAATTCTATTTTACGTCCCAAGACATGTGCGTGCTAGTGTCTGTGAAGTGCTTTCGCAGAATGGCTGTGTATAAATGTATTCGGTAATATTAAGTGTGGACTATGATACGATTTTATATTGTGTCGTTCAATCTGAGTTTAGTAGTGATCGTATTTTCTGCATACGAAGGCGATTCGAATCATTGATATGATTTCCAATGAATAAGTTCAAGATACGAGTTGTCTAATTCACAGCTTCATACGACAATCTGGACTATCTCGCTTGCGTCTGGAACGGGTGAAGTCTAAACACGAATTCAATTGCCTAAATACACATGGGAAATTCACACACACACCCACATCTATGTATATATATGTATATATATATATATATGTGTGTGTATGTATAAGGATATGGATATGAATATATTCATATTGAAGTGCCCCTCTGCTTCCTTTGCAGGCCCTGGATGAGGACCCAGTCACCGCCTGGTCATCTAACGGCGACGGGGACAACGCGTTCATTGAAGTTCTTTTGTCTGAGGAAGCTTCCCCAACATCTGTCGGCGTGTGGTCCAGGAGTATGACGGATGGGACTGCTATCATAAACAGTGTGAATATCACCATGATTCAGGTATGTACGTATGCGTGTGGGGGGAGGCTTACATGCGACCTATCCATAGTGTTGTGTGCGTGCATATGATGTGATGTTCCGACTGGAGGTTAGTCTAGCCTTTTTCTGTCGGCGTTCACAAATGTGAGTTATTAGTACCATCTAGGCCTTTCTGGCCCAGAATGCGTTGTGGATACCACTCATCTAGGTTGCATATGGGCACATACTTCAAACACTGTGTGCGACTCTTGTCCGCGATAGACTATTCGTCTATGAGCGATATGGCCACCAATAGATGGCTTTGTGCTATTGAGCTTCTGGCTGCAGATGACATTTTGAATACGTTCCGCCGAGTATGTCAAGTTGAAGTACTTGTATGTTGAGCACTTTCTATCTCCACACCATCCCTTCATATCCCCGGACCACACTTGTGTCGAGTGCTGGTGTGCTCGCAATATCTACACCTCTCGCGTTCTCTGACGGATAGCACCTGTTACCAATCCACAGGCCGATGGGACGTCCAAGACGTTCGGTCCTTTTGATTTGCCCACCACCACTCAAGAGTATCAGTTTGACGTCGCCTGTGAAGATACCCTTATTCAGAGTGTCCGAGTAGATGTGGTAGAAAGCACTGGCGGTAATACCGGCCTGGTGAATCTGGCTGTGTACGTGTGAGTATACCGATGATTTTACCATAGCACACCCTGAGCTCATGCCGCTGAGGTTACCATAGCAACCGCAAGACTCTAACAATATACCCATACTCTTTAGTCTATGTCTACTAACATCCAAGTTTGAAATCGAAGTACGATAATACAATACCTACATTAACAATAAATTAGAATGTGTAATTGACTGTCTGTATTTCACGGGTATTTGCGCTTCAGCTCATCTCCTGCCTTTTCAAATAGCTGTAGCACGGCCTTCGCACTGTACGCACAGACAGCCTGACAGATAGGTATATAAACGCGACACTTGACACGTGACACATTGTCACACTTCGATTGGTCGACGTTGCGCCCATATCTGCGATATACTTGATGCTGGTGCCTATCCTGCGCCAAGCCGGAATGATCTACAGTACATTCAGGGTCCACCCCCCCCCCCCCCGGTTCCCATCCGTGCATGACTCACACCCATGGAAATTCCATGTATGACTCACATCTGTGGCAATTCCCTACATAACTCTATGCCGGGCAGCATCGTCCACGTAGCCTGAGGGCCCCATCCTGACGTCTGCAACACATGGTGCTCCCTGTGTGCTCCCATATAGCGTGCTTGCCGTCTCCGCATAAGAGTGCATCCTCCACCATTGCTGTTTGGTTGTAGGCTAACATATGGTGAGCGGACCAGAGCTAGTTCAGCTCAAACTGTGTGTGACATCTTCTGAACCATTGAAATACAACACCAGGCCATAGTGATGAGTGTCTGATAGGTGTGCTTGCATATAAGCCTGGTGCAGTATGTGCGCATCTCCGCTGTCTCACTCATTCAACAAAGCTCCGTGTAGAAATACACACAGCAGTTCAGACTGCGCGCTGCCGTTTCTTCTTGCAGCGTTGCAGCGAATGTGTGTGTTGTTGTCTGGCGGACACGGAACTTACAACCACAATGCACCGTATGCCATCTTAGTGCGAGGATGGTGTCTATCCATTGTAGATGGGCAGTGTGGGTAGGTAGATTACTTTGTGTCGAGGAGTTCTTAACGGCTGTGGGTTGATCTGTGCATGCACACCCTACCATCAATGGAAATATTCTAGACCGGGTTAGCACTGAGACAAATAGCCAAAATGTCAGGTGACAATTCCAAAACTTCTGCTATTTATATTGGGATTGTTTATCTCATTTGCCAAACATAAGGAAGGCAAACGTGTGTGGTGTATGGTGTCCTTTGGCATTGGCTCCATTCAGTCTATCAGCTGCCGCTGGTCCCCCCCGTTCCAACGCACACGACGTGACATATTCGAACACCCGGAATAGTCTATACAAAGCATGTCACTTTAACAAACACTAGTCATGGAGGACTCCCAGCCCTCCAACTACATCGAAGTTGTCTACTGAGACAGTACGTGCACTGGTGTATCGCGCTAATTATATCCGCTAGCTGCCAGTGCACCTATTCGTACTGTCATACTACCTCATTCCTAACGAATGTACGTATCCACGCCCACGTTAGCAACGAGGTTCTATAGCCGTGGCATCGGTATGTGTATACAATAGAGCCTGTGTGCACTATACTTTGATCAGCCCACGAGCCGAATCCATATACAAGACTATACACGAATGAGTTGTGTGGCCGTTTATTTTCCTTGGCCGAGTAGTGACTTTGCCTTTAATATGAAGTGACTGGGGCACTCTCTACACATAGGACAGCGCAGGTGGTAGACATGTTCATGCACTGAAAGCATCCGTGCAAATACATGGACTGACCACTCCCTTACTGGTGCATAGTCTGAACGTACCATTGAGAATGCAGTCTGTTCCCCAGCTATAAGCCACTCCTCCCATCGTGACGTCCTTGTCTACGTGCTAAGTCACAGCGTTACTCTGCGCTACATATCGGTGCACACCCGATTGCAATAAGAATAACTAGCATACCGGCCATGTTGAACAATTGCCCGCACAATCGATTGATCGAGGGGATTTAGGGTTGTAGGGTTTGCTCACTCCTCACACCTGTGAAAGACCAGCTGGCACTCAACCTCGCCCGTCGGCACTACTTTGTGGTATTGCTGCGGCTCGATAACACAACGCTCGCCCGCGTTGATGGTGTAGGTATGCAGTGCTGAATGTTGTGAGCATGTTTTGATGTGGATTATTGATATGTTTAGTATCATTTCCTGCTTTACTGATTGTATCTCCGTTTGGGTTTGGGACTGATGCTATAGACACCTGCCGCGGAAACTGGATCTTAAGTGGGCTTTCGACCTCAGAAACCCCCGAGCAAGACATACAAAACTCCTCACTCATATGCACCTACCTAAAAATAAAATGGTTATACGCCTACATCGCTGTAGTGTTCAGCTATCACGAACACGCTCATTCATGCGTACGAAAGCAGGCTCACGCATATACACTTGGCCACACAAACAAGCCATGCAGGTACATAATACGGTTTTAATTGTAGCGACAAATATGATACGGTTTCAATCGAATATGTGGGTCGGATTTATACTGCCCCAAATGTCATCGAGCGACGCTGTGTATGTGCAGTGTTCGGGAAGCATGCATCTGCACACAATACGAAATGTAGCGGTTGTAGCGAGTATCTACACATGACACCAATTCGATCTGTTTCACATGGCACGCATCAGCAAATGGGTATGTATACATACACCAAATACATCTACAGTAAATTACGGAAGTTAGAAAACGATGCGTCTATGAAATTGTGCAACACAGCCAGCCATACCCGGACCGGACTTTCCATCCAGAAAGGTGAAATCAACAGAACCGCTTGTGACCGAAAGAACACCCCATGTGCCTGCTTTGGTGTTGTGTGCCAATTGAAATGCTCTAGGGAGACTGTTCTGGGTCCAGACTGGTTTCTCCATATACGGTTTTGCATTGGCCGGTAGCTCCTGATGATAGGATGCGGTGTGAATACTTTGAATATGGTTCCGAGTGATTTT